CTAACTGTGGCCTTCCAGTAGAGCCACAAGGAAGATGGAGAGAGACTCGTTACAAAGGCTTGGAGGGACAGGACAAGGGGAAATGGCTTCACACTGCCAGAGGGCAGGGATAGATGGGATACTGAGAAAAAATTCCTCCCTGTGAGGTGCTGAGGCACTGGCACAGGTTGCCCAAAGAAGCTGTGCCTGCTCCATCCCTGGAAGTGTTCCAGGCCAGGTTGGATGGGGCTTGGAGCAACCTGGGCTAGTAGAAGGTGTTCCTGTCCATGGAACAAGGTGATCTTTGAGATCCCTTCCAACCCAGGCCATTCCATGGTCTTACAGCAGATCCCTAGTTTGCCCACCCCTCCAATCCATGATGCCCTATGGAACTTAACCCAGCCAGAGATGAAAGGCCCTGGTGGGTTTATCTGCTTTGGGGTTTCTAACTTTTCCCTGGTGATAGGACAACACAATTCACTGAGATGCCCAGAGAGCCTCACCTGCCCCAAGAGCCACAGGCAGCCAGAAGAACATAAGAGAGGGATGGATGGATGAGTGGGGAGATGTCACATTTCATCACAAGAACTTTGTACAGTGTTCATGCAGCAGAGTCTCCTTTGTACCCTGACCCCTGGGTATCCAAATATTTACACTAAATGTTTAGTTTTGATCCTTACTTTCATTTCCTACTGAAAACAACACACTGAGCTCACGTACACAGATTGCAGTTGTGCTTACTCAGAAGTTCAGACAACTTGCACAGAGCACTTGGCACTAACAGCCACTATGAGAGGCTGAAATTCCATTTTCAGACTCTTCCTTTAAATCAGGATATTTTAAGAGCCTCCAGAGGCCTCACCAACCACTGAGCAAGGAGAGCCTGTGGAGGCTCTGGATCAACACTGAGGAAGTTTGCACAAGCACAGGTTGATAAAAGACTTTTAACAAAAGGTGCTAAAGCTCTTGATAAAATCTCTTGCCACAGAATAAAACTGTCACTGCAATCTGCAATGTTTTCCACCCTGTTTTGTACCATTTTTCCTGCCTGTTTTTAATCCCATTACCAGTAACAATTGCCCTAACTGGAGTGCCAAACAGTGTAGGGGAAATGGTTCATTCTTTTGTCCCCCAAATTATGTTTCTCTTGCAGCTAAGCAAAGCTAAACATCCTGAACATGCATAGCTTTTGTACCTTGAATTGTTTCAGTGTGAACAAAGCTCTCCACGTTAAAGCTGAGGAAATCAGCTAAAAATATACCATGTTGTTTCGAGCCCATGTCCATAATCATGAGGCACTTCCCTTCCAGCTCAATGGAGGAAGAAAAACTGAACAAACAGAAACAGGAAATTCCTACAGCACAAATATGCTGCAAGGGAATAAAACCATTCTCTTTACATTTGTGTATGTCCAGTGGATCAAGCCAAGCAAAAAATGGGTAGTTACAGGTTGTTTCAAGCAGTGACAGATTAATGGTTGGGCTTGATGATCTTAGTGGTCTCCTCTAACCTTGATGATTCTATCTGCTGTGCTGATATTAGCCACCACATCTCCCTTGGGATAACCTACAGTGAAGATGTTGCAAAGGGTCTCCTAACACCAGGGAGGGAAAACAACACTGTTACAGTGAAGATGTTGCAAAGGGTCTCCAAACACCAGGGAGGAAAAACAACACTGCGCCATAGCCAAGGCTATTCTGGTAAGTCCAAGGGGAACAGTTACTGCTCCATCGTTGACCCAATTCACTTTCACATGCTAAGCCAGGTAACCACAAAACAGCTTCAAGAGAGACTTCTTGAGCACAGAATGTGGCCTAAAACACCTCCCACTGCTGAGCCTTTCTCCCAGGGCAGAGAGGGTGAGTGGAGTGCAAGAAGACAAGCACAGGAACACACTGATCCCTGCCTGGAGCCGTTTGGGAGCATTCCTCTGCCTCTTCCTTCCCCAGGGAATCTCCAGCTACTGAAGGCTCAGATCTGACTTGCAAAATTCATAGAACACTCTTGAAGAAAGGGCTTTTTTTTTTTTTTTTTTGCAAGGGATTTCCTTCTTCAAAGAGCAGTAAGAAGGAGCTGGAGGGTAAAACTGCATCTTACCCCATCTGAGTTGTTCTCAGCACAATCACACACTGCCTGGCTCTCATCTAAACCACTGCTCTTCCCATCACCTCCCTACACAACACTGCTCCTGCCTCTTTCATTCACATCAGCCACTTCTGATGGCAGTGAGTAAACCAAGTACAGGTGTATCACACAGTCATTATTCCTCCACCTGTTTTCCACGTGGCATTTGGATGCCAAGAGCAGTGCATTTATTTGCCATTCCTGTGTGCACACATGGTGCCACTACTTCTTGGGCTCTCTGCTCTTACTGCCTCCTCCTCAGGACAGGACATGCTCCCACATCCCCCAGAACATGGTCAGGGCACTGGAGGGGACCACAAGCCTGGGACCTGCTGCTTGCCCTGAGAGCCACTTCTCTCTTCTGGAGCTCACACAGTGCTTGGTATGAGAACACCCACACCACCACAGAGGCCACAGCTGAAAGTGCCTCTCAGGGTCATGGTCACAGGTGTGGCCTTCGTCTACATTTTCTTAGATTAAATGCATTGTTTCCTGCCAGGTCTGGAGCTTTGTGGAGATAAAAGGTTGATTTGCTGAATTCCTTCTGTGTTCTCAGCTAGATTAGATGTGTTTCCTGCCCTGAACTGTGCAATGCTGCTGAATTATTGGACAAACCCAGTAAATCCAGCCCTATCCATCACCTGCAATCCTCATCCCTGGCAATCAGAACTTCCCAAAAGTGCCCCGTGGTCAGCACACAATGCTCTCAGGTGTAAGGGATGTCTTAGCCTCCACCATGAATCACTAAACCAAATACTCCAGTTTTTCCAAACTTCCTTCAGACTCCAGATCCACCTGAAGATACACGTTAAGAGAAACTTTTCCTGCAGTACAAACTCCTGCTGTATCCTGAGGGAAGTCCACGATAAAGAGCTACTTTCCCCATGCCCAAGTTTCCTTTCAGTACAGTAAACATGCAGAGGCTGCATGAGCAACTCACAACTGCTGAGAGCACGGGAACAATAGTGGGAACTTGGCTGTCTCCCAGCAGCAGCAACAAGGACAACAGCTTGGGAAGGCAGGAACTCAGTCAAAACAACTTTGGATCAAAATATTAGGAGGGAAGCAGTGAAGTTACCTCTGCTTGGTGTGTATAAATGAGGTTTAACAAGCCACTTTAGCCTCGTATCATAGAATCATGGAATGGGTTGGGTTGGAAGGACCTTAAAGATCATTCCATTCCACCCTCTGCCATGGGCAGGGACACCTTCCACCTGCCCAGGTTGCTCCAAACCCCATCCAACCTGCTCTGAAACACTTCCAGGGATGGGGCAGCCACAGCCTCTCTGGGAAATCCATTCCAGTGCCTCAGCACCCTCAGAGGGAAGAGCTTTTCCAGAAGCAACTCACTACTTCAGACTCACAGGATGGGGAGCAGGGGCAGGAGCCTCCCACTTCCAGCTGCTCTGAGCCTGGAATGACACAGTCCCTATCAAAAAAAAAAAAAATAAAAAAAAATCAGGTGTACAATGACCACATCTTATTGACTGCAAACCTTATTGTGCCAAGCAAACCTACAACATGCTACTTCACAGGAGCATTTTATGGCAAATTAAACTTACTACCAGCCCTAATGACACCTCCCTGCCTGGGCAGGCTCTGCAGCTCCACGGTGGAACAGCACTCCCTCGTGTTCCTGCGTGGAACAGGCTCCTGGCCTGGGGCAGTGTCTGCTCCTGGCAAGGACACAGGCAGCACAATTCCTCCTCTAGAGCAACAGCCACTATGGAAATGCCTGTCCAGATTTTTCTCTGCAACTGAGTGTCATTCACTCAGGTTATCCAAAGGGACGTTTGGTGGCTGACATCAGCACAGCAGATGGAATCACAGAATTATCAACACTAGAGGAGACTTCTAAAGATGATCAAGTCCAACCATTAACCTGTCACTACTATAACCCCTAAATCATATCCTCCAGACACCTCTTAAACACCTCCAGAGATGGTGACTCCACCACCCCCCTTGGGCAATATCCCAGTGCCTCAACACCCTAACACTGAAGAACTTCTTCCTAACATCTAATCTGACTCTCCCCTGTCTCAGTTTATGACCATTCCCTCTAGTCCTCTTGCTGCAGGCATGGCAGGAGAGCCCAGATACACTTTGGAAGCAACATATCTCTGAAACATGACTGTCCCATCACCAAAAGCATATCCCACTAGAACACTGCACTGTCCACAGGAACTCCTGGCAGGACACACAGAGGGATGACACAGCACATCTGTACAGAGCACCCTTCCTCCCTCAGAGCAGGGATAACCCCCCCCTTGGAGCAGGGTGACCACCACCCATGGCTTCAGGCTGATGATTACATGCTCCTTCCACCACTCACCCAAAAGCTCTCACAGTGACACCCCAACAGTAGTTATTAACCAGCTGCCACTTCCTTCAGAGTCACCTGATAAAAGGTATCAAAACGAATCTTAAGGCAGCAACTAAAATCTAGTCAAAACAAGCTTTAAATCTCACTCCTTGTTTAAATACCTCGATTTTCTTCTAATTGTGTAATTACTCTTTAATGACTGTCAGTGAGGAGTAAGAAGGTCTTGTTAATCCCTCACAGTGCTGCAGAGAGATGCTTTATTTCACACATGCCATTGATTTCCAGTGCTTTCAACACGCAGCATTTCTCTGCTGTTTGAACAGAGACAAGCAGCAGACTGAGGAGAAACACCTTGTCAAGGATGTACCTGGCACACTCAGGAGACTCAACACCACATCCATACCAGAAGGCCAAAACTGAGCAATGAATCCAGAGCTCACTGTCACCTCAACTGTGTCACAGTACTACAGACATGGAACACAGAGCTGTGAGACTTAGGACAGACTCTCTGCTCCCAACAGGCTCCTTAAAGCACCTTCACTTGGTTAAAGTGGAGCCAAAGTCACTCTTGCACCATAATGTTTTCCTGTTCTCTAGGCATCTTCAGCCACCCAACCTGTCCCAGGTGCTTTTCTTGCCACACTCAGCTCAACTAATGAAACTGTTTGTCAAGCATTGGAAGGGGCTGTCCAGGGATGGGGTGGAGTCACCATCCCTGCAGGTGTTCAGGGAATGACTGGACACAGCACTCAGTGCTCTGGTCTAGCTGACAAGGTGGTGATGGATCAACAGTTGGACTTGATGGTCTTGGAGGTCTTTTCCAACCCAAATCATTCTGTGATTTTATGTTATGAGGTGCTGGGATTGATGGATCCACCACTCACACTGTGGAGGGATCCAGACCAGGCCAACACCTGGGTGCCAAGAGAAAGACCACAAGGCACTAGAGCTCCCAGTGCAGTCTCCTGGAAGGGGTTGCACCCACAGTACCCTCAGACACAGCAAAAAAGAGATGACAACATCAACATTGCAGCATCCCACGAAACATCCTGAGGCAGAGTAAGAATTGCTGACTACAGATGGCTCAGGGCAGGAGCACAACCAACCAAGAGCACTCCACTAGTGGCTGTGTCCACAGGGAAGCCAAAGAGGTGGTTATTGGGCAAGGGGCATTGCAGAGGGACAGGAAACCCCAGTGCTGTGGCTGCACATCTGGCATGACGAGTCTGACAGTGCCCCTGATGCAAGCACTTGGACAAGAGCATTGAGCTGCACTTAAAGGGCTTCCTATGCAAGTCAGACCTAAAGATGTTTTGTATTAGCTGCAGCAAAGCTCCTCATCAGCTGGAAAAGGGATGATGAACACCCCAAGCTCCCTGGAAAATACTCAGATATAATAAATATCACACAGGGTCACTGCAAGACTGGCCCTTGAATATATAATTACAATACTAGATCAATTAGAGATGATGAAGAGATCACAGCTAGGAAGCAAATATGTGGCAGAGCAGAGGAGGAAGTGATGACGTGGAACAGAGCTATGATTCAGGCTCCAAATTTCAGGCGACCATGAGCACAGTGTGCTGTGCTTGACCTGAGCCTGTGGCTGAGCAGCTCCAAGCAGCACAGCCTGACACTGCCAACGGGCCTGAAGCAAGCCAGTCTGGATTCCAGGCTGAGGGAAAAGGCAGCAAGAGGAAGCAGTGCTGACACCAGCTGGTTGGTAAACAGGCCAGGGAGAGGAGCAGCACAGGATGTCCAGAGAAGCTGTGGCTGCTCCATCCCTGGAAGTGTTCAAGTCCAGGTTGGACAGGGCTTGGAGCAACCTGGGCTAGTGGAAGGTGTCCCTGCCCATGGCAGGGGGTAGAATAAATCATCTTTTAGGTCTCTTCCAGCCCAAACCCTCCTATGACTATGATTCTATGATTCTCCTAAAAGCTTTAGGCAGCAATCCCCAAGGTCCATCAGCACTCTTGGCTTTCCTCTCTGACTGTTCTGGCTTTTTCCTACCTGGCACAGCTGCAGCAATAGTTCTCAGCAGCTCTCATTAAGCCATTTTCTGTAACCACAAGTGCAGTGCTCAGACTTCCTGGGGAACATGCCCCTCAGTAGTCCCTGTTTTGGTGTGATGCATCCCAACACAGCAAGGATGGGAGCTGTGTGTTTCCCAGCCCTGGAACACACCTCCTCAGCACTGCAAACAATCCAGGCTTGATAACTCTGTTCCTCTTCTCATTATTACAACTCACACTGCAAAGGGAGCTCAAGGTTCAGTTACTGGACACCCAATACAATGCACGGAACAAAACATTTTGCCAGACACAAATACACTTCTCAGAAACTCAGAGCTGTCACTCAACCACAGCACACAGACTTCTTGGTGGTCAGTCCCCATTTCACACAGACTCAGGCAGACCACAAACTCTGCTGTGCTCAGAAAACACATCACAGTCAGGCACATCCTGTTCAAAGCAGAACCACTACCAGCAAGGAGAACTGGCACTGAGTAGGTGCAGTGATGTCCAACAACTCCAGCACTGTGTAGGAGTAGGATAAATACACAGCAGAGGAGATGTAACCAATAGTAACTCCAAGGAGTAGCTTTAAAAATAGGTTTTCATGGTAATATTTGGTAATTAAGAGTTACAGCTTCTTCACATACATCTGCCTCATGAATAAAGCATCTTAGCTCCCCAAAACAGATCAAGTAACACTTGACAACCAACCCCAACTTCTCTGGTTACTCCTGATTGTAAGTAGAGAGAACTGATAAGTATCTCCTCAGTAGCCCTCAAGCAGCACAGAAAGAGACACAAGGCACAATTGTGCTTAGACCTTAAATTTCTCTTTTTAACATCATATCACATCACAATTGGCCTTCCAACATTCTCCTGCAGGAGGGTGACATGAATCCAAGTGCCTCAGGAATACTTCAAGGTATCTGAAGAGAATGTACAGCCAGAAAATACAACACACCTGTCCTGTTACAGACTAGGACTGCAGGGCACCAGATCCCACCATCCAAGGGATCCTCTGGACTGCTCCAAAGCTTGGGTTGGGCTCTTTTTTTCCTGGCCTTATTGAAAAACACACACCAAAGCAAGAGCAGGGAGAGATCTCTTTCAACTTGACACAGTGGCAAACGACCAAGGACATCCTTCCCCTCATCACACTAATGACTAAGGTTTTAGAGTGCAATTTAAAGAACATCTCTTTTAAAAAAAATTAGCTGGTCAAATAAAAACTTAATTAATGTCCAGTTTTTCTCTCCCAACAGCAAGAAAGTTACAGTAGGCAATCTGACCTCACAGCACAGGCAAAGGCTGTAAAATTCAGCTCAAAACGAGGGAAGGAAACTCTTCTATTGTTTTATAATGTACTAGCAAACAGCTAACATGAGAAGGTTTAGTGTCAGTGCTGATTACATGCTGAATTTACAGCTGGAAAAAAAAAAAAATCAAGACGAATGCACAGTACAACAGACAAATGAAAACTGATGTTTGATCAGCATGGAAGAAATTAAAACGTTGGTTAGCTCAAAGCAGTGCAGTAACCATCCATAAAGGCTTTACAAATGAAATCCAGGCTTGATAAACGTGAAGAGGTCACACACAGCAGGCACTGTGCAAAGCTGGCAGGGCAGAGCTGCCTGCAGAAAGAGCTTTTCATGACTGAGAGCTCTGAGCAGTGTCCAGGGAGGAAGTGCTCACCGAAGCAGCAAAAACCTGCAAACAGCCACAGGAAAAACGAGCAAGGAATTGTGACAAGACACACTTAACTGATACAATCCTGAAGCCAAGAGCACTGGCCATGCTACTGAAATAGCAGGAGGTGGCTGCAGCCAGCAGCAAGGCAGGAGGGTCCTGGGGCAGAAGCTCCAGAGGCCAAGGAGGAGGGAAGAATATCCTAATACACAGAGGGAAGAATATCCCTAACACACAGCAAGCAAAACTACAGCTCCCATGGACAGGCACGAACAAGGAAGCAGTGTTGGTTACCAAGTTTTCTGAGACACACTGGAGCAGTTTTAAGTGAGCACTCAAGATAAAACAGCCTTCCCCACTCCAACAAACCCCAAGTCTCATGTTACCCTTCCGAACGGAACTGCCAAACAAACCTTCACTCCAGAGGAACAGTCCTAGGATTCCTGAACAAACCCCCAACTCTGGCATCACACTGCCCTCCCAGAGCCAACTTACCCACAGGTACTGCAGGAACTTGAGCAGACGTGGACAGTAATAATACTCCATTTTCCTTGAGCCCTGAGTTAGAGCAAAGCCATGTCCGTTCCGGGCAGTCTCAGCTCTCCTGCTCTCCCCTCTCCCCGCCTCCAGCACGAGTTAAAAGCAGACTGGAGCAATTAGAAGCAACATGAATAATGTACCGTGTGTGTCTGTGGCCCCACGTCAGCGCCGAGCTCGGCGCCTTGAACACGCTGTGCTACTCAGAGCAGTGGCTGAGCCACCAGCAACACGTGTTTAACCACATCTCTTGGGCATCCAACTGCTCCCACCTCGGTCAGCCCAAAGGGGCAGGCTAGAATGATAAATGGGACTTGAGGTTTTGCAGATTAAAAGCCCTTCAGAAGAGAAGAGAAGCTCTAACCCCTCGGTGTGCAGGTTGGGTTATGAGAGGTTAACACCACAGTTGCTCTCTGACCTTGTTTTTGGGGGTGTACAGGGAAAAAAGTAAACCCACACATACAAGAAAAGCTCCTGCTTTTAGATTCTTTCAGTATGAAAATGTCTTTTTGTGAACCAGATGGAACAGACACAACAAAGTGGCTTTTTATACACCCCTGGAATGTTCCCAGCAAATGAAAACTGCCAAAAAAGGAAGAAAAACTGAGTGAGGAGAATCTAACCCACCCCCAGGGCATCCTCGGGGCTGGGGCTGCAAATAGGAAGTGGTGGAGGTGTTGGGCATCAGCTGAGGGTGGTTTGTGATGAGCAGAAATGGGAATTGTTGCATTACTTTTTTGACTTACATCCTTTTTGTGCTGGGAACAGGAGAGGTAAGTGAGCAGAGCCCATCCGGGGAGGGCCCTGACTGCCTTCCCCTCCCAGCGTTCCTCCAGCTCTCCTGGGGTAGCACAAGGTGGAGAAGGCACAAATCAGCTGTTTGGATGCTGCAGCCTCCTCTCCTTGAAATGCTGGTAAGGGATGTTCAGGAAAACTACCCCTCACATTTCCAATCACCACCTGTAAGATCTTGTAGAGCTGACAAGCTATTTTTATTTTCTTCAAGGCCGTGTCAGTCTGTAAGATCTTGTAGAGCTGACAAGCTGTTTTTATTTTCTTCCAGGCTGTGTCAGGTTTGGGGTAACAGAACAACTCCCTTGTGATGGGTTTCAGCACATCCCATCCCACCTGGGAAGGAGCAAAGCTGCAACATCAGAGGCTTTAGAGAACCCACAACAGAGAAGGTTTGGTTTTCAGTGGGCAGGAGAGAGACCTGCCATGGGCAGCACTGGGAACAACTGGTGAACTGTGTGTGACAAGCCAAACCATCAATTAATCTGCACATGTTGATAAAATATTTACCTTCTCTCCCTTACAGCTCATTTCCCAAATATTTTAAGAGTCAGCTCACGAATTTCTTCAACAAATCCTTCTCCACCCACACATCAGTCTCAAATGCAACTTGCTATGGAGACCATTCTAGAGATCTTCCTCCCCGAAGGAGAAAAAAAATCCCAAAATTTGATGTAAAATAAATAAATAATATGACAAGAAGCCTCAAAATAATCCACACCCACACCAGCTCCAGCAGCAGAGTGCTCTGTTCTCACTCCCTAGAGCAGCAGTTGTGGTTGTAACCCAACTGTACTCCAGCTGCTCTGTTTCCTGCAGTTCCTTCAGCCCCACAGCACAGCCACAGCCACTTGATTTGGAGGATGAGTCCCAGCACACATTCCTCAGGTTCTGCTTCCCAAGATTCCTGTCAGTTCTGATGACTCAGGAATTGAGGTTTGTGACTGGACACAGTGAGCTGTGCTGGGACCACCACAGCTCCTGACAGATAATACCTGTCAGTATGAGCTGCCCCTGGCAGCACTAACAGCCCCACAGGCACCACAGCTACAAACCAGAGAGGATCTGCTTGTCCAGGTGGTCTCACCTGTCCCTGCACCTGCATTCCAGGCCTAATGGAAGAGACCCCTACAACAGCCAAGGTGCTGAGCCATGCAGGTGAGCTCTGCCTGCTACAGAGTCTGAGATCTGCAGCTAATTCTGTGAGAGAAAATCCCTGTGGTCCTGAGCAAACACGAGAACAACTCTATTTCTATACTATCCTGTGCTGCAGCAGGGCTGAAACACAGAGACAAGTACCACCCGTGGTAAAATCACAGATGACAGTCTAGCAGCAATGCTGGAATCTCTGTCAAAGCCTTCTCTGCTTTTAAGCAATACACACTTCAAACAGCTAAAAAAAAATGCAATTTAGATAAGTGTTAAATCTCAAGAGTATCATCCTTTCAACTTCAAACACCAATGCCACATTGTCAGATACACATTGTAATGGTTTGCTTTCAGAGTCATCTCATGCAATGTTCTGAAAAACAACCTAATTAGAGCCAGATTCCCTGGAATATCAACACAAAGAAATGACTTCTCCAGAGGTAAAATGATAGTACTGCACCTTGTTTCCATCTGGAATTGTGTTCATCCACAAGAACCTAGTTCATTAGGTGTGCTGGAAAATCTCACTGAAGCAGCTGTTTATTATCACAGATATGGGGAATAATGCAACACATGGATATTAATGTCACTTGGCTCGTCAAAGACCAGAGAGTATCACTATCAGTTCATCACGTGGCTCTGGAGGTGAATGGCAATCAAAGGCAACTGTTTGTTCTACAACTCAACTTGTCACTTGGAGCACTTAGAGTCAGCAGGATGACAATGACACCCTGAGTGAGCAGTGCTAGGCACTGTAGAGTATCTTTTGCCACAAGAACAAGTAACTTCTCAACCACACAGACCAGAAACTGCTCAAACCAAACAGCACCAGTTCTGTTTCCATCTCATCCTCCCTGACAGCTGCAGCAGTGGAATAACAGCCTGGTCAGACTCCCAGGAGATGTGTCACCCAACCTGTCCCGTGGCTCCATCCTGAGCCCTCTGTCCACATTGCCTCCAGCAGAGGGAAGTGTTGGAATGAGCTGACCAACAGCGACTCCACACCATGAGTTTCTAGCTCCTCCAAATAAAAAAAAGGCATCACAGCTTGCTGCAGAGGAAATGGTTTGGTTTTACATGATCTGCAGTGATACCTGTGTGAGGCTTTGGAAAACACGAGTGTGGTGAGTTTTCCACCTCCCAAACAGAGGCAGAAGTGCCTTTGTGCATCCCCTCAAATCACACCCCACACGAAGCAGGGACAGGTCCCAGAACACATCACCAAACCACGATGAGGCTTTGCAAAGCAACACACAGATCCAAAGCACTTAGATCCTCCTGAATTCCAGGGAATGCCACACACCTGGGAGTTTTCTCTTTCCATGGGGCTGAGTCTTTCTTTCCCACCTTCCTTCCCTGTCCCAGGCTACACTTGGGGATGTTCAAGGATTATGCTAAGTAACCTCCACATTAACAACCAAGCTGGAGAACACCTGGCACATCTAACACCTGAACAGCTCAGCTATCCCAGCACATCTCCCACACATCCTGTGGGACCAACATCACCTTCACATCAGCACCATGAGCTGATGACATGTAACAACTTTCAGGGACTAAGTGTCAGTTCTGTAAATAACCCAAATTCCCCCTAAGATGAACACTCAACCTGAAGTCCATGCTATGAATGGGAAAGACAAGGGGATAGATATCACCCCCTGGATACAACTCCATGAAGTTTTAAGAGTAGAACTGAAGAACAACACAAGGCTGTTTCTAAAACCTCTATTAGGAAACTTGCTTCTAAAATCCTTATATGTTTGGGTGTTCTCTTTTTCCTTGCTTGAAGAGAGAGAACAATTCAGTTTCTTTCATTTTCTTTGTGCATTCTCTCCTAAGAGGCTGCAAACAGCAGTGACAGAACAGATCTCTGCAGAGAGCAGTGCAGCACATCACCACACGAGTGTGCTGCCAGACCGAGGGAGAGATCCGACCTTGGCACACAGCATAGCAACATCCTTCAGCCTCCCCTTTGCAAACCCTTCATTTCCCTCAGAAAATGTCGCTATTTCATTTATTATGTAGTTTTTGGAAGATCCAGATCTTCGTTTTGTAGTTCAGAACAATAATTGGATGCAGGATGTTATCTCCCATCTGTGAGCTAAAGTCAGCAGATCCTTCTAAAACTGAGACCAGCACCCAACAACTCCCAGTGGGAATTCACCCCAACACTATGTGCACTGGAGACAAATCAGACTCCCCAAAAAGATGTGATCCCTCACAGAAACACTTCCCTAGGTGTTGCCTACAGTAAATTAAACTCATTATTCTTCAGGTTCTGACATGGTTCTATTTGTCTGCACAATTTTCCAGGAAAATAGAGCTAGAATCAAGCGATTTTCATTATCTAGGCTGAGAAATCAACGCAGCTCCTAACGCTCTAGAGCCATATTAAAAGTCCAGGGTGAAAATTCTTCACTTGGAAAGCAAAATGAACATGGATAATGTTTTGTGTTTGAGGCTTTGGCACAGAGCACTGGGATGGGATCCTAGGGAAGAGAGTCCTGTGCCACTTCAACCCCCCAGAAAAAGCATCTCTGCTAGGCAGACACACTTGGCACAGCTGTTAGCAAAGAGAAAACAGAGCTGCACCTCCCTTACCCCTCCCCAAATCTCCTCCCAGGTCACTTACTGTCCCAAAATCTGCTCTTCTCTCCTTGTAGAAACTGTGGCGACTCCTCTGAGCAGAGACCACAGAAAAGTCTGTTCCTTCTGGTTTGTCTGAGCTCTGCTTGCTCCATTCCTTCCTAGAAGCCTGTAAAACAGTTATGAAATGCTCTTAAGAGACAGAATACACATAAATATAGATCTATGATAGATATAAATTATATATACAAAAAAAACCACCCCAGAGGAAGTTTGAAGCTGAAAACACAAAATGGAAAAACATTAGAGTCATTAACCTCCTATGTTTTAATCACAGAATTATAGAACCATTAAGATTGGAAAAGATACCCAAGATCAAGTCCAACCTCTGGACTGCATTCAACTGTGTTAAGGAATCTCTTGCCCCTCACCAAAGTCAGTGTCAGCAGTGAAGTTTCACAGACAAATCAAGGCCACTCACCCAGTAAAAATAAAAATACAATTGGCTTCCTTCAGAAAAAGACAATAAACAATGAGAAGGCCAAAAAGATCATTGCTGGCTGCTCAAAACAAGCCCAAATTACTCTGCAAATAATCACAGAACTGCAGAGTTAACAGCTTCACATCCCAAGTTCAGAGCACTAATAGAATACAAACACACCTTTCAAAGCTTTTTCAAGCTCTCCATGGAGAGATCGATAAATATTTATAGGCTTAAAGCAAAACTCTAGTCACCTAGTACAAAGCACATTCCTCAACAAAACAGAGCCCAAAAGGGAGTGAACTCTAGTGAATAAATTTTCTGCTCCTTTGCTGCAGCCACAGCTCGTGCTGTGGGGGCAGAAACATGATAAAAACTGTAATAAATCAAGGTTCAATGTGAGCTACAGGGAACACTTGGACACCATTTGGCAATACCTTTTTATCCTCCTGGATGAACAGCTCTGCCTGAGCTGACACCTTGTGTCTCCAGCCGTTATCCACACTCTCCAAGGGGAAGCTCTGCCTGGAGCGATGTAGGTCCTTCCTTGCCCTCACCTCCTGCACAAGGGGCAGATTGTCCCTCCCCTGGCGACACTTCTCCGAGTAGGAACGTCTCAGATCTGGAGGAGCAGTGCTGAATCCACATGTGTAGCTCTTCCAGTCAGTTCTGCTCCTCAGGTTGGCAGAGTCATTCTCACATGTCACCTTGTTTGAGCTGTCCTTGCTCCTCATTGTGGAGCTCCTCACTGTGGTTTTGCTCCAATCGCTCTCTGGAGACACCTCCAAGAACTGTTCTTTTGCCACCACCCTCTTCTGTATGGGGCCATCATCTGCCTTTAGGGACAGCTTGGAAGCAAAGTTGACTTCCAGCCTCTGGTCTGTCCCCACTGCATTTATGGGCTGCACCTTGTCAATGACAAACTGTGCACTCTGACTCCTGGAGGTTAAGTTCACTTCCTGATCCTCATCAACTATGAAAGTTTTCTTCCTAGAGAACTCCACAGGTGAATTGACAAACTTCTCTGAGAAGAAGCTGCTGGGGTTTCCCCAGTAAGGAGGGCTGAACTTTCTGTCTTTGGGCTTCTGTTTATCAGGTTCAGGGCTACGTAACTCCAGTTTCTCTTTGCCCTTTTCATTTAGGGTGAGTTTCTCTGGCCTGTGCTGCTCCTCTGTACACTCACCTGCTTTGCTAGCACCCGAGGAGTGATCCGATCGACTCTTCCACTCATTCCAGCTGTAGGACAGAGTCATCCTATCCGACACATTCCTCTTGTTCTTTGCCTTCTCCCTACCAAATAAACCCAGGTCTTCAGAGAGCTTGTCCTGAACTTTACTGGCCTTGGTTGATTCTTCTTTATACTCTGCCATAAGTGCATCGATATCAAGAATTTGGGACCTGTAACGATCCTCAGCCTTCCTGGCAGACACTTCACAGTGACCTTCACTCCTTTTCTGGGGCCCTGGCTCACTGTCCTTACATCCCTGTGTGGAACGTGGGGGCGATCGGGGCTCGTGGTAGGAGACTTTCCTCCTGCTGTTTTTCACATCACTCTGAGCTGTGTTTTCCAGGTCCTGTTTTAACAGGAAAGCATCAACATCTATAATTTTCTCTTTAGAATGATCCAGACCTTTTTCATGCTGCTGTTGGTTCTCTTTCCTAGACACATGGAAATTACCAAACGTGATGCTTTTGGAAAAAACAGCATCTTTGTCACCTTCCCTGCCCCAGTCCTTGCTGACATGCACTTCCCGGGAATCTTCTCTACAACTTGTACTTGTCACATTCTTATTTGGTTGCTGCAGTACAGGTTTGGACCTTCCAGGAAAAACAGAGTCCAGGTTAACTGCTGCTCCCTCACTCGAGCTAGAAACCATATTGATTTCACTTGCACTGGGGACAGCAACAAAGCTCTTCTCTTTCTTGACACCAGGAATCTGATAAGTCACTGCAAAATAAGTTGCCTTTGGCTCCAAGACAGAACTCTGATGTTTCAAGCAATCATCAGCACTGCCAAGAACAGCTTGGTTGGCCTCACCCCCTTCCAGCCTTTCTCTGATTTTCATGCTTCTCTTTTTGAGTGAACTTTCATCCAGCTGCAGCGAGTCTGTCCGGCTCAGCCTCTTGATGTTTTCAGGGCTGAGCCAGATCACTTCTTCTACCTTGACAGAATCCTGAGGCAAGGTCCTCCTTCTCCACCTTTCAGATATCTTCAAGTCAGAAACACTACTTCTGCTTCTCCTAACCTTCTCCTCTGGATCTGTTACTCTGAGTTTCTCGCTGCTTTCGGCAGTACCAGCCAAGCTGAAGTTTTGCTCTTTGCAACTGAAGTCCAGATTTTTTCTTAACCCCAAGGTTCCAGATTCCTCTTTAGCAACGTTTAGCCCTTTTGGATCAGGATGGTGGCTACTGCAAGGTTTAAAAAATGGTCCACTTGTAAACCCTGAGGAAGTCTGGGCCCCGTGTTTGCTTACACTCGTGGACATCACTTCACGCTCCAGGCTGGTTCTGAATTCATAGATGTCTGTCCCACCTGCCCTAAAGCTCCTCTTCTCAGAAGAGCATTTCACCACATTGGACCTCTCCGTGGAAGAGACTTCACCCTTATCACTTCTAATTTCAGCATGGAGCTTGTTTACTTTTTCATTCAGTCCCAAACATTTACCTTTGCTTGTGGAATAAGGTAATTTCTCAGCTATTAGCAGAGGCTCAGGACCAGCTTTATCAGAGTCTTTTTTCTGTTCAGATGAAGTGCTTTCACCAGAGAGAAAATCATTAGGTTCTCTCAACACAGACTTGCTTGTAAAAACTTTTGCTTCTGAAGGAACATTATCTTCTTTCAAGTAGAGAGGGTGACCCCCCGCTCTAAGTGACTGCCCAGTGTGTAGAACCTCCTCATCGGTTTTAGTCTCTTTCACAGATGATTTCCTAGCTCTGAGAGTCATGGCCTTTTTCTCAGGAACCATAGTGATGGCTTCACTAAGAGCCCTTTCCCCACAGGTCTGAAAGATTTCATACCTAGGCTCTATTCTTTGGTAAATCAGAGTGTCCTCTGTGTTTTTAGGAGTGACTTTCTCACTCTTCTCAAACAAAGATTTCTCTAAGACAACTCCAGGGCTCATTTTCTTGTCCTCACTCAAACAAACTGCTTTGCCACTCCTCTCCACATCTGCTGTAGGCTTGGAGGAATCAGGTTGCTTGTGATGCTCCTTCTCCTCTCCTTCTCCCACCCAGGTGCGCCTGCCCAGCCCCGAGGTGCCGGGGGCAGGCTCAGCCCCGCAGCGCTCCACGGCCACACTGTGCCTCTGCACCGTGTGCTCAAACACAGTGGCACGCACAGTTTTGATGGAAGGCTTCTCCAGCAGGCTGGGGTTCAGCTTTTTCTCCAAGCTGCTTGTGAAGGAGACAGAACTTTCGCCCTGCTGAGGGTAGTGCTGACCGTCCCCGAGGCAGTTTCCTTTCCGCTCCGGCTCGTCAGGTTTATTGGTGATTTTTAAGACCTGTCGAGATTTCCAAGGTTTCCCAGCAGCATGTGCTTCTGTGAAATCTGGGCCATGTGCAAGTTTCAGCTCCTTGCTCTGGAACAAGAAAATCCAACAGTGAAGAGAGTTTAGTTAATGAAGTTTAGGTAATAAAGTTTATGTTAAAATTGCTACTCCGTGCAACTCAGCCTGAACAAGCTAAACATACCCATGGCCTGGGTTGAAACACCTTAAATCTCATCCAGTCCCACTCCTTGCCATGGGCAAGGACACCTTCTACTAGCCCAAGTTCCTCCAAGCCCCATCCAACCTGGCCTGGGACACTCCCAGGGATGGAGCAGCCACAGGATCTCAGGAAAATCCATTCCAGTGCCTCAGCACCTCACAGGGAAGAGTCTTGTAAAACAATACTAAACTACAGCAACTTGGCCCCTAGCTCCCAGTTCCCTAACCACATATTCCTGCCTTAGAGAGGAGACAAGCAGAGCCAGGAGAACTCACCACAAACACCTATAAACTGCAGTAAATCTCCTCCACTAAGAGCTGTCGGCAGAGAAGTTCTGTTTTACAACACCGAAGTGTTGCTTAGAAACAAAGAGAGCCTAAAGCTTCCTCAGCAAATCACCACTTTCCCTGGAACACTTTACTGTCTAAACTGCTCAGGGAAATGTTATTAAGGAGACTGACAGGAAAGGTCCAGGCTGTGTTGTGACTTGGATGTGGAAACTCACTGTCCTACTGCTCTGCTTGGAGAAAGTAAAGAATAATCAGTGCACAGAGCCCCCACAGCCATGAGGAGTTCACTGTGGGGCTCCCTGCACTAGAAATCCCTTAGAAACAGTGTATAAAATACTTGTCTCTCCATACCCTTTCGACATTTAAGAGTGTCCCACTTAGCTTTACAAACTCAGCAGACATGACCATCCCACGTCCTGAGGACAGACTTGCACCAGTAAACCCATGAGGATTATGTCAGCCTCGATTCTCTCAGTGCTCAGCTCAGTGCCATCCCAGCTGGAGCCTCCAGCTCCTGCCAGCTCCTTACTTTGGGATTCTCCTGCACTTCATGGGCAGAGTCAGTCCTGGTTTCAGCAGGTTTCTCAGGCTTTGCTTCACTGCTTGAGGTTGGACTTGAAAACCTAAAGCGAAAAACAACATTACTTCTTTTAGTCAGGGAGCAAGTTCACCTCCCACCAAAGCAAGCTGGTGAAATTCTTCAATAAATTGCATTTCTTAATGGAGAAACATTACTGTTTCATAGGAAGTGCCTCTGTTTGGTGGTTTAATAGTATCTAGACCAAAGACTGCTGCTTCCCCCAAAACTGTTAGTTATGCAGTCTTTATAGAAGATTTAGAGATGCATAATGAGCTGCAGCACCTCCAGTTGACAAGGTGGTGATAGCTCACAGGTTGGACTCGATCTTGGAGCTCTTTTCCAACCTAAATGACTCTCTGCAGAGATGCTAATCTCATCCCTCACTTAAATTCCTTTCCTTTCCTTTGATCCCAACAGTGAAATCAGATTCCTGCCTGGCTGAGATCCTGGTACTCCAAACTGCTGTCAGAGACAGGGTGACCATTCTTCTGCCTCCTCACAAACCTATCTGCTGGCAGGCCACAGGCTCACCCAAAGATTCCAAAGCACATGGAATGTCAATCACAGATCTACAGTTCCATGCAAAGGCCACAATATTGACAGCTTTATTTTTCTCTTCAGCTGTTATCAGAGTATATTTCATTAAATTTTCTCTTTTTTGGGGGTAGGAAAAGGAACTCAAGAATAACAGCATGAAAAATTTCATTTAGTGGGAGCCAAGTGATCAGTTATTTCACTGGGCTGAGTGAGCAGCTGAACAACATGCAGTTAAGAGGATTACACAGAATTTCTCTGCAACCTACATCTTAGTTAAGTCTGCAGAAAGTGGTCGGGTCTGCAGTGACCTGCGCAGGTTTCCAGGCTTCGTGTCAGGGGTTTCTGTTGTCAGCTCCTTGATCCTTTGCTGGATGGTCACACATCTATTCTCCTTCTCAGCACTGCCTGGGAGCAGTTCTGTATCCACTGTGGGACTGGGATTCTCTGAAGTAAACAAACTAATGTGTTTTTTAACACTTCCTCTTAGCATATTGTTCTCCTTTTCCGAGGAAGTTGCAGAGCTTTCACAGCCTAGAAACATGTATGTTTCCCTCTGATCCAGCCTCTTTCCCCCCTTGTTAGCTCTGCTCTCACTGGAGGTTTCAGGGCTCCTCTCAGCATTGTGCAAGTTAGTAATTGTTTCTGGTTTGGTCTCCATGGGTTCACTTTTAGGTTTCAGCTTTGCTTCCCACGTGTATTTCCCATTATTCAGGATGCCAATGTCCTGACTGCTGCACTTCAGGTTTGCTTTACAAGAACTGCCTTTATTAAACTCACTTTCCTCAGGTTTTGGCCCCGGTTCAGGCTGATCATGACAACTCACATCAGTGAAAGTCATTATGGACACATTCTCCTTGCTTTCCTGGGATGAGCAAGTCTTTTTGCAAGAAGAAAGATCTTTAGGTTCAAACTTAGCTGTCAGGTCCATGGACAAAGGCCTTGGTTTTCTAACCCTGGATTTCTCCATAGGAGGTTGTTCCTCAACAGCTTCCACAGTTCCCTGTTTTTGATCCCGTAATGACTCCAGGAAAATAGCAGACACTGGTCTGTGCTTTGCCCTTTGGACATCAGGAGAGAAATCAACTTTAGTGCTGAGATTATTTGCACCATCACTGCTTTTCTCCCCTGGATGAACATCTTTCTTTTCACCAGTTTTGAGGGAGTTCCAAGAGACTGGTCTGAGGCTGGAGGAAAATGACATCTGCCTGTGAATAGACCCTTCAGGATTCCTAGATGTCTCAAGGGGTTTCTCCAGCTTCACAGTGCACTGCAGGTCCTTTGTTTGCAGGGCACTGAAGCCCCTGTGCTCCTCAGCCTTCCTCTCCTGGGCCAGGCTGCCCCTGCCCTGCTCGGGGCCTGCTGGCTCGAACAGAATCACAGTGTTAGCACTGGGCCCAGTGTAGAAAGTCATATTTGTGACCACATCACCATCAGGCAGATTTTCATTGCCAATCACCTTCTGATCCACTAAGGGAGGAACATTCCCACTCAACACCTTGCCAGCTGAGGTCTCCTCAGTGCCCTTCCTGCTCAGGCTGCTGGACCTGAACGCAGGGACAGGAGGTTTGACATTTGCAAAAGTGTCAGGGGATTTCTCCTTGGAAAAAGGCTTTGGGAAGAGTCTCGGCCTCGATCCCAGCGATGGCATCGTTGCAGATCTCAAGGAGCCCCCAAACTTCTTGCTCTCCTCGAGGGTCAGTGCTGCTGAGGCCTCCTTAGCCTTGCTGCTGGTGTCTGAGAGCACACTGACATAGAGACGCTGCGCCGTGTCCTCCGGTCGGATGTCAGCCAGGTCAGGTACTGTGGGCAAGGAGGCCAAGGGAGAGTTGATTTCTACTCTTGTTGCCATAGCTGGAATTACACGTTCAACAGAACTGAAAAACTCCAACAAGGAAAGAGAATCTGCAAAAAAGA